CCCCCCCCCCCCCCCCCCATCCCAAACAAACAGCACCACCCCGCTGTTGCCTCCCGGGTTCCATAAACTAGTATATAGATGCAACATTCAGCGTTGCGACCCACCCGACCTGCCTCCCCTTTTTTTCCTGTGGGCATGGCCAATTCCTGCCCTGTTTCGAAGCGCAACGCGCAGCAGCACCATACCCAAGGGTTTTCTTAATCGATTTACGCCAAACAAACCACAACACCCACAGTAGTCAGTGACATCAAACACAACGAGTGAGCAAAAACCACACCACGATTGATTGTTGTCCGAAGGCAGTAGATACGGGTCACACACAAATGACAGAACATCAAAGTCCTACATACACGGTAGATACCCCGTGCGTGTGAGAACGAAAATCAGCATCACCCCGCAGACATTCAGTGAATCAACCAAACCCGCTTGTCAACCCAATTTCTCTAGTCTAAATACATAGAACTCATTAACTCTTTCATCTCTATATCCACCCAACCCTCCGTCTTTTACCCACGACGCACGCATACCGTGTGCGTCCTCTCGTAACCCACACAGTCAGTAATCTACCTCGTCTCTTCCAAACCTCTAGAAATCATTTTAGTCCATATTTTTTGTTTTCTACGCTTCACATGTCAAACGAACAAAGAACGAGTGTCAACAACGCAAAAACACCAGCCCTTGGCTGTACTGCTTCACACGTTCTTGGCGACGTTACGTTACGACACGACACCAATGCCCCACAAGCAACAGCAACAGCAACAGCAGCAGCAGCATGCATGCATGACGTCATGGTGACATCACAATCTCATCGTGCTAGGTCGCCTTTCGTGAAGCTGCACCGATGACTGCAACAAGAAAAAGTTGCCACAGATGTCCCCGTGGCTCCACGGCGCCTGCCTCCCTTTGCCCGCCAAATTGCACAGCAATGTCCTTCCCTTCTCCCTTAGACACAACACCAAGACCTCGACAAGTTTGCTTCACGACATGACGTCATCGCTGCCACTCCTCCTCTCCTTGTGTGGTCTGATACGTGGATCAGGCTTGCGTGTACAGAGTACAGATACAGCCCCCCACTGAAACCTATACAAACCAACCCAAACCAACCCAAACAAACGCACAACATTCCACATTCCACATTCACATCTATGACAAATGATCCATGAGTTTGTACAGCAGTGTTGAGAGTGTTGAGAGTGTTGATAGCACCAATCAACCCACCACCACAGCATAGGGCATCGATCGTTGACACACCGACACCTGTTTGGCGACGACAATAGCATCGCCTCTACCACGCCTCTACCACTTTAGATACTCCTTTCACCCACGGTGTTTGCTGGAGAGCAGCAGCCTTACGACTTGCACCTTACATGTGCGCACCAGAAGAAACCCCACGATTGCTTTCCATCAGCCGCTACGCGGGGAACATGCAAGGGGAAAGCTAGAAATTCCCGCGGTCTGTTGAGGTCTATTGAGGGTACGGCAGCATGGCCCCAATTCACTTTTTTTTCGTATCCCATTTTACCCCCCTACCTACTGAATAGTAAAGCTTCTACGAGACCCGCGTTGACTACTGTTGTACCTGCTGTGTGGCGCGGACCGCCGCCTTTACTTTGCACACACACCTTGCTGATTTGTAGCGTTTAGTGTTCGATGCAAATCCGGAGACTAGTACCACCCTCAGCATGAAACTACGGAGCCCCCCCCCCGCTGCTGGCTGCCCTTGTAACGGCGTCGAGTCAGAAGCTGAAGGCGCCCATGCCATTCTCCTCCATGTTGTCGGCATCTGCATCGGCGTCCATGTTGTTCTTGTCGGCGTCTTCGAGGGACATCCACTGCTCCACCATCGCGCTAACGTCTCCGAAGCTGGCGCTCTCCCTAAGCTCGACATGGTCGTCGAGGAAGGCCTGTTTAATGTTTAAAGCACCCAACGAAGGGACGGGGGGGGAGGGAGGCGACTCAATCAACGACGTGAATAAACTAGCTTGTGCCCTTCCCACTCGTGATACATAGGAGGCTATGATAGGTACGACCCGGTGCTTTTTCGCTTGGTCTTTCGACATCGGCACGTTGCACAATCGCTCGTGACGAACACATCTAAACGCGAGCTTCCACGTCTGGACACACGCGCTACTGATGTATACCGTGCCATAGCTCAAAGACACCGGCCACACAAGGAAAAAAATCCCACCTGAACGCTCTGCATCCTGGCGAAGGAAGGCTTCCGAGTGGTATCCGCCAGGGACTCCGCGATATCGTCCAGCATTATCTCGCTGGGGCTCCGCAGGTGCCCCACAACAGCCCCCAACCCGACGGGAGGGATCACCACCGTGAGCCCTCCGCCGCCTCGCGCCGCCGCCTTCCTCTCGCCCCGCTGTCCCCCGTCCCCTCCCCCCGAGGAAGCCTCCACGGAGCTCGCTTCGAAACCCCCGCCGGAAACGTCCTCCGAATCATGATCCACCTTGTCTCGACCGGTAGCCGTAGCAATATCTCCTCCTGGGGACGCCGTAGGCGCGGCCGGTGGCGGAGAAGACGCCGTCATGGACAGCGACGACCACGAAACCGACAGGGAACGCGGGTGTCCCAGCCGAGGGGATCGTGGCGACGATGCAGGGGCCGGCGGTGGGGGCGTCTGTGCCGGCTGGCCGCAAGCTTGCGACAGTGCCAGCTCCGAGGCGTGGCCCTTCGTGCCACGTTCGTGGCTGCGCATGCTTCCGACTTGGGCGCGGGCCGGTGGGGAAGGGCTTGCACCAGAGTCGGCCTCGCGCTGCAGCTGTCCCTGGCCGTGCTGTTGTAGAGCCGAAGGGAGCAAGCCACCGCCGCCGGTGTTTGCGGAGCCGGTGTTTGCGGAGCCGGTGTTTGCGGAGCCGGTGTTTGCGGAGCCGGTGTTTGCGGAGCCGGTGTTTGCGGTGGTGGTGGCATCGTTGTTCTGAGCCGCTGTGATCATCTTCTTCCGTGCTTTGACGGCCTTGTCCTGAACGTACCATACCATACCATACCGTATCGTACCGGGACGAAAGCAAACCGCGGAGAAAACATGCGGGAAGCGCAGAGGGGGTCGGGGGAGAGGTCAGCATCAGCATGCGACAAAGAGGAGCGGAAGGGGCACAGGAGTGAAACGGCGTCACAAAGTGGATCATCACCCTTGACATCTATTTACATTTTTCGACATAATTACTATTGCTGTAACACAAAGTCCGTTCCGGCTTGAGCATAAATAATGTCGCCGCCCACCAAAAGTAGAGAAAAAATGCCCCTCAAGAACAGAGAACATTACCGGAATGGCTTAATGGTCACGGAGATAACCGCTCGCTTTTGTTTGGCTTTTAATCATAAAAACATTTGGTTTTCCCTCTCTCACTTGTCTGAGGAAAAATCCCAGCGAAATGTCGCCCAGGTCGTTCCCTCGTTCGTCGAGTCCATAGCAGCACTCCTTTCCTGCCTTGGCTTTCTCTGCCTGC